TGTCTGTAAGTGCATGCCATTTAAGTGCATAATGATTCTGTTTAAGTCGACTTATGGCTGCGGTTGAGCAGTGGATTGGTGCAACCGCCACGCCCAAGAGGATGTGCCCCTTTAATCAACATAGCCGCAACGGGAGAACGCCTCAGATGATTTTCGTCTTTGGAAGGGATAAAGATCAAAACAGATGGTCGGTCCTGCGTTTCGATTCAGAGCTGCAAAATGAAGAGAGATTTGCTGACATGGAACTGGGTCGATGCGCCACTTACAGTGTCGTGGGTGGTGAGTCGACTGACGTACTCTTACCTAACCCAGCATGCTGCTCAGTAGTTTTTAGTGAGCGTTAGTCATCATCCTTGACCCCACCCCCTTCCCCAATCTCATCGCGCACAGACTGCTTCATGTTTTCTCTAGCACATACCCTTCTCAGCATATTTTTTAATTTGAGCAATTTATGCCGTTATTCACAATCATAGCACACGTTAGTCGCAATGTAATTGTCATTACGTAGGGCAGAGAACTCTAATAACTGTGATGTCGAAATCTAACGTGACGAATTTGATGCTTAGTAGTGTTCCTTGAACATTCCACTGAGTATGCTGGAGCACGAGATAGTTTTGTTCTAATGAATTTCTAAGTAGATGAAAAAATTGAAAATCCTTATAAATATTATACGAATGAATGCGGTCGATTCAATGAGGGCTTTTTAGTGGGGATATTCTCCGGCTTGACATTCACTGGCGGACGGCCATATAAATGCTCGTTTCTGTTAGCAAGTAAATAAGGATATTTTGCTCGATATTGGATCATTTTCAATAGTGGAACAACACTATGTCCAGATTGCAGTGCGTCAGGCGTTACTGGGAATGCGCACTCTTATTGTGACGCATGCACCTGGAGGCCCATGGTGCGTCAACTGAGATCCAAACCACCTCCCAATGCTGTATGGTCCTACAAAATCTCAAATTTAGGAACTTTTTTAAAACCGGGAGATGTTTTCCCTTCGAATACGAGGTTGTAAAAAATAGGTGATTTGCTACCGAATGAGATGATGAAAGAATGTTTGGGTACATGTTTTCCGCAAAATACATTCGATTTTATAAAGGCATCGAAAATCGATAGAGAATGTAAACGCCACAAAAGTTGATATTTTTACCGGGTACGATTATTGCAGGCGGCGGGAAAGAAATGTATTCAAATCCAAAACTATCGTTTAGACATGAGCTTTATTAGCCTGACGTTTCGGATTCCTGCTCGAATCCATCATCAGAGACAACAGCAGATACGGATGACTCACGCACAAGGGGCTGCAGTATTCATAGGATGCAGTCGCCATGCTACCGCATGCCTATGAACATTCACGGCTTCCCCTTCATCCGGGATCGTTGCACTTGGTGTGCTAATTGTTTGATGGCCGACATTTACGTCGTTAATTGCTGCAATTTCATCACGTGCGTTGAATGTTGGTGTGATGATTGCTCAACCATCTGACGCATCGACCCTGGTGTTGGGACAAGTGTTCACATGTGCACTCCCCGCGTGGCTAATTACGCCGCCTAGGCGAAGTCTCAGCACCGAGTATGGAAGGGGAAGTTCATTACACTTGCTAATTGACTGGGACCCAGTAAACCATGAATCAAGTAGCTCTCGGCTCACGCGGTTGTCACCTCTTGCGAGAATTTCGGCCTCGTCGAATTTGAATGTGTAGCCGGATCTCGTCGAATGAGGCGCAACTTGAGAGCTGGCGTCCTTTCTCCGCACCGCTGCAGCGTGTTCGGCCATTCTCGTTTGGACATGTCTTCCGGTTTCTCCAACGTAGGTGCGTTGTCCGCAACTGCACCAGATCCGATAAACGACTCCAGACGTTTCCAGCCGTGGCAGCGGGTTTTTCGGTTTCATGACCAGACGCCTGATGGTTGCCTCCGGTCTGTGTGCAACTTCAACCCCAAGTGGTGCGAGAAGGCGGTCGACAGCTTCCGAAACGTTCTTGACATACGGAAGCGCCCGCCAAGACTTGGTGTCCGTGCGGTTAGGCCTTTCGTCCCTTTTGCGTATGCACCGGTAGCCATTGGCTTTGAAGACCCGTCGGAGGTATTGTAGTTCGGCAATTTTGTCTTCCGGCTCACTGCAGTGCGTTTCGTCACGCCGATAGAGCGTCCTTACACAACTGCGTTTGTGGCTGATTGGGTGATTGCTGTTGAAGTTCAGTACTTGCATCGTACTTGTCGCTTTCCGGAACACTTTGGTCTTTAGTCCACCACAATCCTTGCGGCATACGAGGACATCCAGGAAGGCCAGCTGGTTGTTCTCTTCCTCCTCCATCGTAAATTGTATGTCCGGGAAGACCGCATTCAGACGTTCCTTGAATGTCAGCAGTTGATCCCGGTCGATAACGATAATGGTATCATCCACATACCGGGCCCGGAACTTCGGTCTGTGGTGTTGGAAGACCAGCGACTCTAACCGTTGCAGGACCGCCTCGGCGATGAATCCCGAAATCGGCGAAAACATTGGTATGCTCTTCACCTGTTCGTAGATTGTCCCGTCGAACGTGAAGTACGTCCTGAGACAGAGCTTCAGGAGCTGAAGTATTCGGGCGCGTCCAAGATGATTCTCCGTTTCATCATATTTGCTTTGTAGTAGCAGCTCGATTGTCTCGATCGCCAGGTTTTGGGGAATAGAAGTAAAAAGGGATGTAACATCAAAAGATACCATGACCTCATTTTGATGGAGGCTTACCTCTTTGAGTTTCTCCAAGGATTGTGCTGACGAAGAGACCGTGGTGTCTGACTCAGTGGTCAGGAACTTGAGACGCCTGAACAGCCACTTAACCAGTCCGTACGTTGAAGTCCCTTTGAGCGACACGATGGGTCGGAGACGAGCGCTGTCTTTGGGCACCTAAGGGAGGCCACAGAATCGGGCCAAAGCTGTATCTTGGGGTCTCGCCATGCGCCTATCGGTCGGTGTTATTGCACCTGAGTTCTCTAAGGCTAATAACGTAGCATTAATTTCGCGTGTCAGCGGCTTGAAAGGGTTCGTTGCACATGGGACATAGAACTGTCGATCCTCCAGTAAACCTTTGGCTTTTTGAAGGTAGTCTGTCCTGTCCAGTACAACTGTGGAGCGCCCCTTGTCCGCTGGCACGATGACCAGGTCTTTGTCGGCCTTGAGTTCTCTAAGCGCATTACGTTCGACCTTGGAAAGCACTTCCCGCGGCCTGTGAGCCATCAGGAGAGACGAAACTTGGTGTCGGAGAAGGCTCTTAGTCTCCTCCGTTGCCTCCGTCTGACAAAGGATTGATTCCACTGCTGCAATCATGTTAACAGGTTTGACGTCAGCCGTGTTAAATGAAGCTTCGTGCCGTAAAACCTGCATCTGATCCTTCGTCAGCTCCTTTGCCGACAGGTTGTGCACCATTTTTTAGTTTCTGGACGACGTTGGATTGGGCAGCTTTCGGAATTTGTTCACCAGTACTGCGTCGCGTATCATTCTCTGATCGCGGGCTTGTTCAGCTATCCTCTGCAGGAGCAGATTAGTACCGATCTCGCCCAGGAACTCACAGCATCTGGTCTTTTCTTGGTCAGTCCTTTGACGGTACTCGCGCAGTTTTGCGTGGCAATCGTGGAGGAGGACTCACGCAACTTTCTCAACTGGTGCATACGCAAAAGGGACGAAAGGCCTAACCGCACGGACACCAAGTCTTGGCGGGCGCTTCCGTATGTCAAGAACGTTTCGGAAGCTGTCGACCGCCTTCTCGCACCACTTGGGGTTGAAGTTGCACACAGACCGGAGGCAACCATCAGGCGTCTGGTCATGAAACCGAAAAACCCGCTGCCACGGCTGGAAACGTCTGGAGTCGTTTATCGGATCTGGTGCAGTTGCGGACAACGCACCTACGTTGGAGAAACCGGAAGACATGTCCAAACGAGAATGGCCGAACACGCTGCAGCGGTGCGGAGAAAGGACGCCAGCTCTCAAGTTGCGCCTCATTCGACGAGATCCGGCTACACATTCAAATTCGACGAGGCCGAAATTCTCGCAAGAGGTGACAACCGCGTGAGCCGAGAGCTACTTGATTCATGGTTTACTGGGTCCCAGTCAATTAGCAAGTGTAATGAACTTCCCCTTCCATACTCGGTGCTGAGACTTCGCCTAGGCGGCGTAATTAGCCACGCGGGGAGTGCACATGTGAACACTTGTCCCAACACCAGGGTCGATGCGTCAGATGGTTGAGCAATCATCACACCAACATTCAACGCACGTGATGAAATTGCAGCAATTAACGACGTAAATGTCGGCCATCAAACAATTAGCACACCAAGTGCAACGATCCCGGATGAAGGGGAAGCCGTGAATGTTCATAGGCATGCGGTAGCATGGCGACTGCATCCTATGAATACTGCAGCCCCTTGTGCGTGAGTCACCCGTATCTGCTGTTGTCTCTGATGAAGGATTCGAGCAGGAATCCGAAACGTCAGGCTAATAAAGCTCTTGTCCCAGTGATCGTGTCTCCTTCTTCAAGACGTCTTCCTGGGACTTGCCTCTTCGCTTCTATTGGCAGTTATCCTTTTATTAAACATTCCGCTACGACTAAAGGATATCTCCTATCCCTCGATTGAGTTCTAGCACAGACGGTCAGTTGTGACCACACCTGTAATGCTACTGCATTAGTTGATCTTAAAAAGTATGCAGATTGTCAGACTACGCATTCAAGTAAAGATAACTTGATCCTCATGAACCACACCGGCTTGCTTGAACAGTTATGACACATTTTACAGACACCTGCCTACACCTTATCCACATTTTTGCATTGTCCCTTTCTGGAAGAGAGCATTTTTGTAGTCGGAGGAGAGACTGCGCAGCAGAGCTACTCGACGAGTGTTGATGAGTTCCTGGTGAGAGAACGGCACTGGCGCAAACGGGCACCCCTCGCCGTTGGACGCGAACAGCATGCAGCCTCCGTCTTGAAGGTCGGTGTTGCAGACAAGGGGTGGGAAGAGAGGATGCTGATTGGCATATTTGGTGGATGCTGCAGTGAAGGAGGAATACTTAAACGCCTTTCCTCCTGTGAAGTGTATGATGTCAGTCAGGATAGGTAAGAACACTCGTGACGCAGATCTGTTGCTTTTTCGTAAATGTTGCTGTCTCGCCCACTCATCGACACCACTCCCCTCGCATGCCCCCCAACAGGTGGTACAGGCTGCCCGATCTACGGGAGAAGAGGAACGGTCCAGCTGCTGTCTGCTTACCCCGCGACAATCGGGTCTTCGTCTTTGGCGGTAAGGACGATTCTGCCTGGACTGCTTCCGTGGAGTTCTGTCAGCTGCGAGCAGACTGGCAAGTGAAGGCCACCTCATCCAGCACCGATGGATTTTGGCTACGAGCTGCCCCCATGAGAACTGCGCGCGCAGTTCTCTCAGCAACACACTTTAGAGGGAGAATCATCGCCGCCGGTGGATTTGATGGTAAAAATAAAGTCAACGTTGTGGAGATGTTTATTCCCCCAGACAACAGATGTCCGCTCGGTCAGTGGACGGACCTCGCTGCGATGAAACAGCCTCGTTCATTTTTCTCACTTCTCACCACCCGCGACACGTTCTTTGCTCTCGGCGGTAATTAATGCTCCTTTGTTTTGCGGTGGCGCATAATTAAGTGCATTTTTTATCTCATGCGATTTGATACCATTAACGGCATATTTTATAGGGTTGAGCAGCAGTGCTCCGATTATTGTGATTACTGTTAATCTTCTGATTTGGCTAATTTTCTGTGGACCTTTTTAAGATGGAATCGCATGGGAATTGTTTCAAATTTTTAGGCGGCGATGGGAGATCAGGAAACACGGTAGAGGCCCTATCTGCACCAGAAGGATCAGTTGATCGCGACAATGACTTGACATCTTGGATCTGGTCGACGAAGAGCCCAGTGGAAACCCTTGTGGATATTCGAGGAGCTGCGGGCATTCGCATGTGAACGCATGCGTTCCCTCATGTTAACTCGGAGTCTCTTCTGCTAATTGCAAGCTTAAAATAAACGACTGGCAATTGAAACCGCTTCATCTTCTCAAGACCTGTCGAAATGCATGTTGTCATTTTATATTTGAAAACATCGAAATGGTGTACAATGCGAACGTCGGAAATAGCCAATCAAAAAGTCTTCCGTTTTGCCGCGAGTCAAATATTTTGGTGCCTTACTCTGGACCAAGTGTGTCAATCCCCGAGGGAGATGCTCATCCACCTACATGATGTATAACCGTAATAAAGCATAAATTCACATTTTTATACGTTAATATGAATTGCAACTATACTACATCAGGGAGGGTGAAGAAGGATTATGTTGAAGAAACCAATGCTTTTGTCAGATATGGGCAGTGTTTGAAGAGAATGAGTTTCGGTTGGCGGAGCAAGAACGATATTTCTACGATTTTTCGGATGCGTTCTGTGGCCCATTACCGCAGACAGCAAAAGACGGTAGACATAGACTGTATTTGCTATGCTACTAATTGTTTAACAAAGTAACTGTTCTCAAAGTCACTGCAGGTGTTTGCAAATGTTTCAAGGGTTTCCTGATATTTCACGTTTGTGTCGTTAATTTCAACGATGTAAGTAACCGTCGTTGAGCAGGTCTGGTAAAGTTGCCGGCAAAACAGCACTGTCGGGCAAATGGGGAGGAGAGTTAGGGCGATCAGGGTCGATCATAGGTTAGAAATCAGGAGAAATGTCGTCAACACCTAATGGCGTTCCAGCCCACCCAAAAAAAACGTAGCCAAATTCCGCAAGCAAGCGGAACCCAAATAAAGAGAATTGGAGAGGTGGGCGGTTGTTGGATAATTATAGCATCAGAGGAACCTACAATTACTTGTTACAGACTGGATATTTCGCGAATAATGCTCATCATTTTTGTCGGAGGACGGACGGCTTCCGAGTGAAATCGACATGGTTGTCATGTGCCTCAGAAAACAAGATGGTAGCGTCGTAGGTGCGCTTGCGCCCGGCCAACATTTCATCTTCCAACTTGTCAAATTGGCTGCCACACGCACAGATTCGTCTGCTGTCTAATCTCGCGCCGGATTCAAATGTTTAGATAAAGTTGAATGAAGACGAGAACGCCGTGTTGATCCAGTGTCCTGCTTCGTCTTTATTTCACCCACGCGGCAGCAAAATTGAAGCAAGTTGGCCAAAGCCGTTTACTGACAGATTTACTGGTACAACGAGCTTGAAGTTTACTTGGACTTGATTGATTAGTTAGGTCTATGAGACAGGCTTCTCAACAGTACGTGGGAGAACAGGTCTGATGGATGCAGTCATCTACCAGTGACGTTCAGTTGTTAAGTTAAAACGTTTTCTGCGTACGCGAGCGTATTTACTCACGTGACAGCTCATCAGAGAGGAATTCGTGCATGCCAGTAGTGCCATCCTACTGGGCGACCTATTAGCAAGATGTAAAGATCAAAGTACCTGCAGCTGACAGCAGGTGCAAATGCAATTTGACATGCATTTCGAGGTTTATCATACTCACTGTCACTAGAGATTGCTGTGCTCCTCCACTGTGGAATATTCTAACTTAACCCCTTTTCTCTGGGATTTTTAAAGTAGAATTTTTGCTGAAATTATTTCAAAATTGAAGGCGACGAGGATAGAGCATCAGGAAGAACAGTAGAGTCTCATACTGCACCGGAGGACTCAGTTGATCACGGCAATGACTTGAGATCTTGGATCTGCTCGCCGAGGTGCCCACTGATGACCCCTTCGCGACTTGTGGCGCTGTAGGCATTCGCATGTGAACGTGTGCATTTTTGATGTCAACTCGGGGTCCCTTCTACTGTTTGCAAGCTGAAAATAAACGACTGACAATTGAAAGTGCCTCGTCTTCCCAAGCACTGAGGAAGTCCATTCTGCAACATTTCAGCTGTGGACATTGAAAGGGGCTACAGCCCCAACGTCCGGGGCGTTTTTGCTCTCCGGGCATTAAGCGGCTGCGCGCATCACACTGTGGGCCAGGAAAATGAGGCACGACGTTCAGAGGTACCGATGCACACTGGTCCCAATGTGCGTCCACAACTTCATTCTGTTGCTGTTTTTGATCAGTCATGGATCCAAAATCTTGAGTAAATATTGTTTATTCATGGGTGGTTTTATGTTTACTTTGTAGTAGGCTTAGTGGTCTCGAGGTTAATAGAAAAAGGTTATTGGTCTACGCGACATCCATGGAACAGGCCTCGAACGTTGGTGACACTCGAAAGCTCTATCGTCTGATCCGCCAAGTTAGCGGTAAGCCCTCTACACGGAGTGACTCTGTTCGCGATGTGAACAGCGGCTTTATTGCTGACAACTCGGCCAAAGTCGAGCGCTGGCGTGAGCACTTTGAGCACCATCTGAACTTCGATACCCAACCTACATCGCCCTTGTTCTCCTCCTCAGCGGAGTTTCTTCCCTCTCCTACCTATGCAGTGCCATGCGATCCCCCCTCCGAGGAAGAAGTAGCCGATGTCATACGAAAGTTGCGCAACAATAAGGCACCCGGAGAGGACGGTATACCCGCTGAAATCTTTAAGTCTTGTGTCGACACTGGCGCCCTGGCTCCATGAGGTGATTGAACGAGCGTGGAGAAATGAAGTCGTTCTTGATGACTGGAGCTACGGTATCCTTGTGTCTGTCCTCAAGAAGGGAGATAAGACGAGATGCGAGAACTCCCGCGGCATAAGTCTCATCGACGTTGCTGCGATGATCTTCGCTATTGTCCTACTCAGACGATTCCAGACTGTGCGTTACTCAAGGACTAGGCCCAACCAAGCCGGATTTCGTGCTGGACGTGGATGCGCGGATCAGATATTCACACTGAGGCGCATTCTCGAATTTCGCCATAACTACCAACAACCGAAGGCCGTCTGCTTCGTTGACTTTGCCGCCGCGTTCGATTCCGTTCACCATGAGTCCCTGTGGCGGATAATGGCGCTAGATGGTGTACCGGCAAAAATCATCGCCATGATCAAGGCCTACTATCGTTCCACTACTGCGAGAGTCCTGGTCCGTAACAATTTTTCCCAACCGTTCGGTATTCCGTCTGGCGTCCGACAGGGTTGTATCCTGTCACCCATACTGTTCAACTACGCTATTGACTGGATCCTCGGGAGGGCCCTACGCGACAGTGACGGTGTTGAATTTGGACCCGGACATCGACTGACTGATCTCGACTATGCCGATGATATCGCCTTACTTGCTTCAAGTTTTGGTGATCTGCAGTCTATGGTGTCACGAGTAAACGAGGTCGCTAAATCAGTCGGTTTGTCCATAAACGCTAGGAAGACCAAAGTATTCTCAAGCTGCATCCCTGACCAGGAGAAGGCAGCCCTGGGGATTGATGGCTGTCAACTTGAAGAAGTGGACAGTTTTAAATACCTCGGGGCGCGGCTGCTGCCTAATGGACAGAGTAAGGACGACATCGTCTCCCGAATCGATGCTGCCCGCTGGATTTTTTCCAGCCTTCGGCAATGCCTGTGGAACCGACGCGACCTCTCCATCGCCACTAAGATTCGCGTGTACCGTGCATCTGTCCGGTCTGTCCTTCTCTACGGTTGTGAATGCTGGGCTTTGCGCGTGGCGGATGAGCGAAAACTGGAGGTATTTGATCACCACTGCCTGAGGATCATCCTTCGAGTGAAGTTAACCGACTTCGTCTCAAATGAGACAGTCCGCGCTCGCTGCGACAACATCGCAAGGATAACTCAGGCCATCCAAGAAAGACGACTGAAGTGGTTCGGGCATGTTCTTCGTCGTCCACCTCAGGAGCTCAGTGTTACTGCCCTCGATCCGGCACCGTTGCCCCATTGGAGGCGTCGAAAAGGGGGTCAGTTCAAAACCAGGCTCGACACTGTCCGTCAAGAAATGGAGGTGGTTCTTGGACCTTCGGTATTCGGTCTCCGTCGTTGGCGAAGGGAATGGGTTGAGCTGTCTAGACCTGCTGCCGCTGATCGTCACGCGTGGAAAGGTACAATTCGGGACATCATCGAGGCCGGCTAGATCAGGCATGATCGCAGCCGTATCAAGTACAAGTACAATTACGCGTATGGATGTCACCACAGCAATCTCCTTAAATGTTACCATCAAGCACTTCCATGACTAGATTCAAAATATCAAGTCAGTGCCAAAATCACCTGAGATAACCTGATTCGCGTTTTCTTCACGAAACAGCAAGATTCCTGTCATCCTTAGTGACGTGGAACAATCTTCTAGCATTGGTTTAATTGGCGACGGTATAGAGAAGGACCCCACCTAACTGGCAGTAGACTGTGGATCGTGTCATATGGGGTTTTGTCTTGGCACACACCTGCAGGCTGTTGCAGAAATTGCACTGTCAACAACGATTACTTTCCACGACTTCACACCTTAACTCAAAATTCGTATTTTGTGAAATTTACTTTTTGTTTGTGGTTTAATTACCATTCCCATTTCCGTTGTCGTACAATAGCGTAGGATAATACTTTTGGTATAAATCCAGGCAATTTCTGTGCTTCCTTTCATTTTGTCAGCAACTGTCTAGCGTGCTGCCCCACCCATAAAACTCCCTTTATCATACATCACTTATGGCACGATCCACAGTCTACTGACAGTCAAGTGGGGTCCTTCTCTATACCGTCGCCGTTTAATTTTCTTTTTATCTTTTTTGTCGTCGGCAGCAATCATGAGGGACGTCTGCTTGCCACACGAAAAGCTGGACTTCGACATCCTTCGAAGTAACCTGATTCGTGTTCCCTTCACCAACTGCAAACTTCATGTCTTCTTTAGTGAAATGGAAAAAAGTACGAAGTGTGGATGAGATACAAGTAATGTACTTGAATGTGAGATGAACTAAGAAACATAGATACATGCTTTTCGCATGTAGGCCTGTGAAAGATAATTAAACGGGCAACCATCGTGGCAATCAACCGAGATGTATTTAAATTTATAGTCTATCAATGGGGCTTTGTCTCGTCTGCATTATTTTTTCCCGTAGCGCTAGGCAGTCGATTTTGTTCGGTTTTGTTTGGTAGCCATAACGCACTAGATACCGTCAAATAGAATTATCTGGAATCTTTCTAAAATTACCCTAGCTTTACACACCCAACGATGGGATTCGTCTTGACAACCGAGCTTCATGAATAACTGCCATTCCAAGATATCCTCTTAAATTTAAATGCTGGTAGATCGCTGCGTACCTTGTCTAATCAAAAAGACACTCTCAGAATTCATATGAACTCACGGAAGTAACGACAGAATTTCTCACAATCAGAGCTCCTTCAGCATTCCACTAAATCGAGTTAAAACCCACAATTAGGACGGAAAAGGGTGATCTGATGGGCTACGCCCATCATTAACAAATCGCTGGCAACCAAATTTGCCTGTCGAGTATTTCTGTGTGTCTTCGCGAGCAGACTCATGCTAGTCGAGGTGTTTCGCTTAACAATAATGACAGCTGAACTGGGAGGAAGTGGGGTGGGTGGAGGGGGGTGGGTTACTATGTGCGCACTGAAACCGCGCTCGCGTACTGTGAGTAAAGAGAGCATCGATCCAGTGCCAGGTGGATGACGCACCCCTCAGGTCGATCTTCACTGCAGCCTCGCAACTGAAAACGGTATTGGAGGAGAGAATACATGTGCGTATTAAGCCTAAGCTAGATGTAACAGTAGGCGATTCAGGTGGTGGTTTGTGTGGAGGACATTTCACTACTCTACGTCACGTGTGGTCGATAAGAGTTAGGCGCACACACCGATTGAGAACAGCCATGCAGTCCCCAACGCATACAGTGACAGTCGGATTTTGGTCTAGGATAAGGTAGATGAGGTGAGAACCAGAGAATCTATGAAAATAGTGTCAGAGTTCGTAATGTGAGGTACAGATCCAAGTCGCCGTTTCCATATCCGCATAACTGAACAAAATTTCTTCAAGACTGCATTAAAACTGAATGGCTGTTCGTTGAATGTAGTTAATCTGAGCTCCAAATGAATCTGGAGAGTTCATAGTGAGTCTTTGTAAGCATGCCAGGCAAGCAAATACCCCTCCTCTATTTGGACATATAGGCGGACGCCAACTTTATCTTTTATCCCCTTCTGCGTTTCACGCTATCAGCGAATACGGTTCTCTCAGCTATCAAACCTACCAAGGGGTGGTAGAAAATTTCCGGAATAGCCAGATTTATGTTAGAATGGCAGGCCTTTTATGTGTGCTGAGAATTCTAACTTTGTCTATCGATACCAACCGACAGATCGCGACAGGGCGTTCGAACCATTGAAGAGCAATCTTTAAGTCAGTGGTGCTGTGCGTGGCGCCTTTCGCCTTCTTAACACAAATGGACAGTTATGGTGGCAGACAACGATCATCAGTCTCAACCAAATAGTGATGGTGATGAAACAAATGTGCTCAAAGTTATTAAGGATCTGGGGTTATAAGAATTCAATAGTCTACATCCTTTCGAGCATCGTGCCCTGAATTTCCACAAAGTAAACAAAACGACCGAATTTATCCTCGAAAATTTTAAGATCACGCCTGAACACGATCATTGTTCGTGCTTATTAAACCACCTGCGCGCTAATAAACGGACCGTGCCTGAAAAGGCCTGTTTCGAAAGAGTTACTCTAAGTTCGCGCATTAATTTCCTCGGAAATTAAGTAAGGCAGGAAGAAAAGAGAATCCACTCGGCATTTTTTAAACGAAAAATCTTATCTTCAGAATACCGAAATATGGCCCACCAAGGACATTGTGGGGTTACAAGCCTTGATCCTTTGTGGCTTCGCCAATCATAAATGGGACTTCCTACCGTTTGAGCCTCTAAACTGTTGTCCGTTTATCCCCTTGCTATAGGTCCAATTGACCACTGTCCAGGTGTAACACCCCTTGACACGAAGAGAATTGTTTGAATGTCGTGACACTTTTGGCGCGCGGACCTGGGATGGTGATGACGTAACTGTGTGCTGGCGAAGACGGCCGGTGTCCCTTCCTCTTGCTATCGCCGACCCCCCTCCCACGACGAACCGTCGCTCTCGATTCTCTCTCGCTCTCTCACTCAACGTCGGCTCCCCCTCGGCCCTTCCCTGCAGTTTCCCACAGCGCTGCATCCCCACCGGCTGTTTAGCTAGTATCTCAGGGTCGTCTTTCCATCCAGAAAGGTCACCTATCCGCTGTTCCTTGTTGCTCGTGTACATTAAAATTTGTTATATACATTCTTCATATCACTTGTTCCATTACACTATATCCATACTCGACGTACTCTCTTTTTCTGCGTGTGAACGGGTTTCGAGAGATGTTAACAGTTCTGTTCATGTCTACCTCCGCCAGGACCTCTCTCGGCGTTTCCTTACTCTGGTGTGTGCTACCCTTGACGTTCTCGGCCGCTACACAGACAATAGGTCGCCGGGAGGTCATCTTATCTCTTCCTCTGACAGGCACAGTTAGATATCGTCGGTTCTTTTCTGTGAACGCAATTGCAGTCTGGAATAATTTACCCAGGGTTATAAAAATTCTACTAAATTGTGGTTTGTCTAGGCCAACTAACCTTAATTTTCTGCATTCGGAAATACTTTTGCTAATTTTGGATAACGAATTCTACTGCCGT